CGGTCGCTACAGGAAGCGATTTTAAAAAGTCAAAATTTTCAACTTTTTTGTTTTTAAACATTTTTCTTTGATATTAATACAGTTAATAGTGACCCTTCTGTAGATGCCTCATATATGATTTATTTTTAAATTGATCAATCCACACTCTGGATATATGCATTTCTAAATCTGAAGCGGGACCAAAATGGCGGCTGTCTCCAATGTGCAGATCGGAGTTTACGGGGTCGGCTGAGCGTTTGGTTGAACGAAACTTATGTAGCGTAAGGATCAAAGAAATGTGAAAGAATTGTTGGGTTGTCACGTCGCATTTACGTTGCAATTCTGATTCAAATCTGAGGTTTCCTCCAACGTCTACTATAATCGCTTTTGTCTGTATCTCTAAGTAGAATAAAACATGACTACAAGTGGAAATACGAGAACTACAACCTTTTGTTTTGCACCAAAGAAAAAATGATCCTAATAAATGGTTAAATGTAAAAGGTTTTCAAAGAACATTGCTTATTTAGCAATCAATATGTTTAGTAGGTATTCGTGGCTGTAGTTTGTTTTCTTAATACTGCAGTTATATCTGATTCTTTGACCGTCACAAGGCGAGGCATGTTTATTGGCGAACCATTGCAGTCTTTTCATGAATGTGCGACTAATCGGGCTAGTCCGATTTGAGGATAAAAAGAAAATTAAACTTTATTAGAAAAGAATTACTGGTGACGTTTCGCGCGAAATTATGAATAGTAACTCACGTTTAATAATACTAAGACAGATGGACTGTGGCGTAAGTATACAGATATGCAAAAAAAAGTTTAAATCGACATATCTCTGTAAGGAATTACATTGGGGAAAAGTTGAATGCATAAGAATAAATGACGTAAACTAATGGTTAGCGCGATGAAATTTCACGCTGTAGACTCGGATTCAATCCCTGTTTGTCCGATCCCTATTGCTCTTGTTCGGATTCTTTTTCCCTATAATTAAGGTCTTCCCTCTTCAGCGGTCACACAGGAAGTGAATAAGAAGAACCGGAAATTTATTGAAATTGACAGATCCTACTCTTCTCTGTGTTTCTAAACATATTTTGAAGAATTCCTATAATTTTTGACATTCTAAGTTGTCTTTTCATTATTCTATCAATCGTATTATTCCATCAGAAATCGGACGGAAGACCTACTCGTTGCTCGCAACGAGATCTCATCTAGTTATTGTTATTGTTTTTTAAGAACTAAAACAATTTCAAATCATATGAGTAAGTTATTTACCACAAATGTTGTCGAAGGCGTGGAATTGTACGCCCTCTGGCCCTTAAACTCGTTTGCTGCCTTTAAGTTAAGTACGTTATATGTCTGGCTTACAGGTATGGAGGACTGTTCTGCTCTCTCTTCCCAAAGGGTCAAGACCGCAGAACGGCCCTCCGTAGCAATTTGCACCTCTTTGCGCATTGATGTACTTGTTTTGGATACTTCTCCTATCTGCAAAATTGTGACGTATGCAAAATTATGTATTCGTTTATTTCAATAGATTTAGCCTTATATAAAACTTGCATGATAATTTCAACTGAATTTTTTCGTTTTGCCGTTTAACAATTTATTTTTTAATACTAGTAATTAAAAATATAAAACATATATAAAACATTTATATGGTAAAAAAAAACATAAATGAACATACACGCTGGACAATAACAGGTCCGACAGAAAGTCTGCCGTACAACATGTACAATGGCACAGAGGCAGCCTCTGCCATTGACATGACTCTCGGGGATAAGAATCTGATTTTGTGTGTGTGGGGGGGAGGGTAATCAAACCATTAACCTATACAATATTATGCAAGATTATAAGCTCAACTCCAAATGTCTGGAACTACTGTTTTTGTCTTAAATAAAATTAGTAAACTTCAAATCGGAAAATAAAACTAATGTACATTAGTCTGATTTTAAATCATCGCTCTAAATTTTCGACTTGAAGTTAACAACATCAGTTTAACCCAAAGTTAACATGTTTAGTTTTCATTTATTTAAAAAAAATTAGGCAATGAATACAAGACCTCCAATTAGTTTTGAAAATGACCACTGTTGATTATTTTCACATTTTATTACGTCAGTTTTCAAACCTCAGAGTGTTGCATCAAAGGTGATGGTGTTGATGAGGAGATACAGAAGTCCGTATGGTTTTCGCCGCTTCATCCTTTATGACATTGCTACAGACAGTTTCCTAGCAGATGTATTCATATTTTTTTCCTACTATATGTATTGACAAAATGCTATTGCAACTATGCTAGCATCAGTTAACTTGATTCGCTTACTTAATCTCTGATAACAAACTTTGGGCACTGAGTCGCCAATTCTCGGCCCTTTCTGACTAAGGGAGAAACAACCTGGAATGTGTAATATGTAACCCCCTCCCCACTCCAAAAACAAAAAACAAAACAACAAAAAACAACAACATTGAAATGAATGCAGGAGACCACTTATCTGTAGAGTCTGGAGCTCAGCCGGAAAGGCCAAAGATGCGATTGTCTTCACAGATTACTGAGGTAAACACGTACATGGATTTGTTCCTAGACATTTTTCACTTCTCATGAATAAGGCCATTCATGAACTATCAAAAATCAAATTAGTTAATAAACTATTTTAGAAAAATTACCAGTAAATCTATAAATTGACGATATTTAGCAATTTTTTTCGGACATTTATAGGCGTGTCTTTTTTTTTTTTTAACTCTACTGGTCAGAGACCAGAAGAGCTTATGCGATAGTAATGCGTCCGGCGTCCGTCCGTCTGTCTGTCTGTCCGTCTGTCTGTAAACAATTTTTCAAAACGCTACTCCTCCTACAGTTTTAGTCTGATTTCAATATAACTTGGCACACAAGTAGACTACACTAAGATACATAAAATAGTGCATCGGTTTTTGATTTCGATGAACGGTGTTGCCATGGTTACTAAAAATAGAATTTTCTGAGAAATTCCTTTAAAACGCTACTCCTTCTACAGTTTTGGTCTGATTTCAATATAACTTGGCACACAAGTAGACTACACTAAGATACATAAAATAGTGCATTGGTTTTTCCTTTTGATGAACGATGTTGCCATGGTTACTAAAAATAGAATTTTCTGTGAAATTCCTTGAAAATGCTACTCCTTTTACAGTTTTGGTCTGATTTCAGTATTACTTGGCACACAAGTAGACTACACTGAGATACATAAAATAGTGCATCGGTTTTTCCTTTTGATGAACGGTGTTGCCATGGTTACTAAAATAGAATTTTCTGTGAAATTCCTTGAAAATGCTACTCCTTTTACAGTTTTGGTCTGATTTCAACAATACTTGGCACACAAGTAGACTACACTGAGATACATAAAATAGTGCATCGGTTTTTGATTTCGATGCACGATGTTGCCATGGTTACTAAAAATAGAATTTTCTGTGAAATTTCTTTAAAACGCTACTCCTTCTACAGTTTTTGTCTGATTTCAGTATCACTTGGCACACAAGTAGACTACACTAAGATGCATAAAATAGTGCATAGGATTTTGATTTCGATGAGCGGTGTTGCAATGGTTACTAAAAATAGAATTTTCTTAGAAATTCCTTTAAAACGCTACTCCTTCTAAAGTTTTGGTCTGATTTCAGTATTACTTGGCACACAAGTAGACTACACTAAGATACATAAAATAGTGCATCGGTTTTTGATTTCGATGAGCGATGTTGCCATGGTTACTAAAAATAGAATTTTTTGAGAAATTCCTTTAAAACGCTACTCCTTCTACAGTTTAGTCTGATTTCAATATCACTTGGCACACAAGTAGACTACACTAAGATACATAAAATAGTGCATCAATTTTTGATTTCGATGAGCAGTGTTGCAATGGTTACTAAAAATAGAATTTTCTGAGAAATTCCTTTAAAACGCTACTCCTTCTACAGTTTTGGTCTGATTTCATTATCACTTGGCACACAAGTAAACTACACTAATTTACATATAATAGTGCATCGGTTTTTGATTTTAATGAACAATGTTGCCATGGTTACTAAAAGTAGAATTTTCTGTGGAATTCCTTTAAAATGCTACTCCTTCTACAGTTTTGGTCTGAATTCAATATTACTTATCACACAAGTAGACTACACTAAGATACATAATTCTGTGCATCGGTTTTTGATCAGTACAAACCAGTAGAGCTACAGTCTCGACAGAGACTTCTGGTTTAACATTAGTATTACGCAAATAAATTTTTGTTTTGCTTTATCGTATGATTTTTTTTTATCGGCAAACGCACCGGCGCGACGTCACGTCTTTGAAGCGCTATTGTGACGTAATTACGTTTATGTCACGAAGGTCCCTTTTCGCTTGACGCAATTCATATATATTTATGATACATATTCTTCGTTTGAACATTTTTTTTCTTCTGATTTCATCCAAAGCATTCTAACATGTCTAATGCAACTTAATTCGTCAAACAAATATATACATGTACTTTCTTTAATTTAATAAATAAAAAAATAAATAAAAAAAACAGTACATGTAGCATACGGTACATGAAAACAATACTGCATTGTTGAAATCTAGCTACTTTAATTATGTATTACTATTGTAATTCAAGCAAACAACTAGTTATAAAACTAAAAGAACATCATCACAAATTGATAGGTGACATATCACATTCACAAACCAGAGGCAAATCCAGCTTTTTTTGAAAGAGTCTTCCAAGTATGTGCCCCCCATTCATAGAATCACACCAGATGCACTTTCGCACCATAGCAACGACTTTAAAGGCTCTGAATGAAGCTGACAAAAAAACAAAAAATAAACTGAGCACCCATAATGTCCAATTTTGTTGTAAGGGGGGAGGGATCTTTTACTTTTCAGTACATTTTTTTTTCTTTCAAATGCTGGAATTTGCATATTTTGACCCTGACCAGCAACAAAAAGCTGCCGTGGGGGAGCAGCGTCCTAACTAAATTTGCGTATTAAAAATACTCTCAGAAAAAGTGAGCCACCCTCCACGTATTATGGGAGCGTTTTATACCTTTTGTCTTCATTGACTAAAATACTTTCATACTGTATGGAGAAATTATTTATCTTTAGCATACTCCTTATCATAACCCTTTTTTTGCATATTCCTGTAAGTAAGTTACTTTAGAAGATTGTCCAAAAATGTTTTCGCCAAAGTTTCGCCAGAATCTTCCGATGTTGAAACCTTGCATGTTACTAGTATGGTAATTAAGATCATTTTTCTTTCAAGAACTTATAAATGATAATCCTTTGTGACATCCTTATAAGTTTCAAGTAACATTGTGTGGGCCCGGTTGGGGCCCGGGACCAAGGTAGTGAAGGTATAACGGGTATCTATTAGGAATAGGCAATACTCTTTCTAGTGAGCAGAAAAGGCAGAGATTTGGATACTTTATTTTAACAAATTAAAAGTAAAAATACCTATTACAGAAAAGCATCTCTGCCCTCTCTCTCTCTGGAAAAATAAGGAGGGAAGTCCAGTCCCTACCCTCTAGATCTGCCAATGTATACCATTAAAATTCAGTTAAGAATATGCAAAACAGAGGATAGATAGTTTCAGTCAACAGTCAAGACACAAACAGTTAAAGAGTTAATCACTACTTTTAAAAAGACCAAATTCTTTGTTATTTGAAACACAAGCCTTTTTTACTGACTGGAGCAAGTCCTTTAATGGTTTAATAAGATTACATTGCTGTTTTTAATTTGGTGGTAAGTAGGATACTGATTGGTTTATTGTCCAAATTAGCAGGGGGTCTCTGTCTGTATTTTCTACACCATAGAGAAGACTCATTCACATCCAGCATTGGAGTTTGGCACAATATTTAAGAATGGCTTTGACTATTTCACCATCGCTGGAAACTGCTGTACAGTCACGAAGTACAGAGTTGATCCTTATGTCACGGATTCAAATCCCACTGTGGGATGTGGAGACCGGTCCTTCGGATGAGCCCGTATAAACCGAGGTCCCGTGTCGCAGTACGTGCCGGCACAAAAAGATCCCTCCCTGCTCAATGGCCCTGAGAGCTGAGTATAGGAAAAATTTGCAGTTCTCCACCGGCAAGTGGTGGCGTCTCCATATGAGTGAAACATTCTTGAGAGGGATGTTTAACAACATACGATCAATCAATCATCACTGGAAACATTGCTGTCTTGGTGATGTTATTTCTCCAGAATCCTAGCCCATGCAGTAGACATCTGTTCTTGTGTCCTCCACAAAACCTGGGAGGTCCACAGCAGGAGTTGTTTGGTAGTCGATGAATTTGTCTTTCCTTTGTTCCCAATGATCCTGGGGCACTAGGGAAGCGAATCTCTGTGCTAGCACAGTTAGGGCAGTTGGTGGTAGATCTCCTCCATTTGCTGGATTTAGGAAGCCAAGGTTGGATACCACCATATCCTTGAAAAGAAATTTGACCAGCATCTTTGATGTCACTGCATAGTAGAATTTTCTTACTGCCCTAAAAAATATTTTTAGAAGTCATTTATCAACAGAAAATAAATAAAAATGTCAAACAAATAATAAATTGGCCCAAAATGATATTTTTTTTAGTAATCTCAAGTTAACAAGGAATCTGCAATACAAACCTCTGTAGTGATGATGGTTGATTTTCATCCTCGTGGTCCACCATGTAAGCTCTTTTCATTACATCAGTGGCAATGATGTTGTCATTCAGCTGGGAGTTGCTGTCTTTGAATGGCACAGTTGTGAGGTCCTTGGTCGACTTCATGGTCATTGCCTTAACAAACTTCTCCAGGGACTTCCTCAACAAAGTCAACATCTCTTTCAAGTACCCAATCTTAACTTCATCAGCCTGATAAAAGATAACAATGTTTAAATATCAATATCTCCAATAGGCATTTTTTAAAATTTAATTTAAATGTACATTTATATGAACAATAAGTATATATAACATTCAGACGTTCAAAATTTTACCTGGAAAATGGTGTTAAATACTTTAGTGGATGAAGAATGAAACTTGGGAAGTTGATGTACATATACATGTACATGGTTGTTGTTATTAATATAGGATATATCGCTTCACCTGTCCTGGTTTCTCAACATCGTCATGGGAACTATAGTAGCTCTGCAACACACTTTTCTGAGCTTAGTCATCTTGTACTTGAATGCTTTAGGATCTCCAATGACTCGACGTTGGTGGATACCATGAAGTCCTTATATATCTCGTTTCTGTTCGAGCTAAATAAAAAGGGATATTGTTATTAGTACCATAGACGATTTCGAAAAAAAAAAAACTAAACAAATATTTAAACTAGAAATGTGTCCAATGGATATGAATGTCCCGCCAAGTGTATACATGTATTAGTAATGCATCATGAAAATTTGTATTAGTTCATGAAATTTGATCAGAATATCTTGAATAGTGATGCAGTTGAATATGTATCAGCATATAAAGTTTGACTCTAATTTCTTTAAAGTGAGGTCAACGTCAAAGGAAATGCCAAGGTCAACTCAAACAATGTTGATGCAGTTGAAAAGCTCTCATCAATATGTATCAGCTTATGAAGTTGAAAAAAAAAAATTATAAATGGTTTCTTTAAAACTGACTTAAACATAATTCGATAAAAGTGAGGTTAAATGAAAGGTCAAGCTAAAAAATGTTGATGCAGTGGACTTGCTTACATCAGTATGTATCAGCATATTATGTTTGACACTGATTTAGGAAAAGTGAGGTCAAAGGTCAAAGGAAAGGTCAAGGTCAAAAATGGTGATGCAGTTGAATAGATCTTATCAATATCTATAAGAATGTAAAGTTTGATGAAAATATCTTGGATAGTTTATTTGAAACTGAGCTTTGAACAGAACTTAATGCAAAGTGTGACGGAAGGACAGAAGGACGGAAGACAGGCATGACAAACACTATATGCCCGGCCATATTCATGGCAGTGCATAACGAAAATATAAGTATGATATAGCCCTTAATGAGTACAGCATTATCATTCTTATTTAATACTAAAATAAAATACCTTATTATGATAACAGTGAAAATAAACCTCAACAAGGAGGTCTTCAACTGGCAGGGCAATTACCTTGACTCCAGCTTGATAGATATATTACAGGGAGACAACTTGAGACAACTTGATAGCTAGATGACACACAGGAGAACTTGGAGGAATTTTGCTGTCGGGAAACATCGATAACGAAGCAATCTGCCACAAGGAAAGGGAACAAAACCTCAGCCCGCATCACATCTGCAACAAAGAAATTACTTTTTAAATACAGGAGGAGATCCAGGAATTTTTTCCAGGCGGTGTCCACCTAAAATCAAAAGCAAAAAATTAAACTTTTTTTCCAGATGTGAAAAATCTATTTTGTGGGTGGAGTGGAGAGTTGTTGAATGTTGACTTTTAAAGCTTCACACCTAACTTTTCATACCATTTTCACATAAATCCCAGTTTCCTTAGGAGGGATCCTGATTGTCTAAGGGGGTCACTTTTACTTGGTTTAGTATATACATTTATTAGTTCTGCAAATTTGGGTGTGTGTGTGTATGGGGGTGTGTGTATCTCTGGACCCCCTTCCCTAGACCCGTGCATGAACATATGATATTAAGTTATTAACAATGTCAATGCATGCAGCTCATACTATAATCCTTAGTTATTGATACAAATTAAGTTTGTAATTCTAAACATTTAAAAATTATATGTTGCTATTTTCTTATATCAATGTTGAACATGAGTTGCGTATAACAGAGAAAATCTCTATATTTCATTTCAAATGTTCCATTCTAATGCAATTGTTTAGTAAAACACGTTTTGATTGGCTAATGCACGATGTTTAAAGCAGTAAAACGAGCATTAACGAGCGTGAAAGCTTTTTCATTGTGACGTCATAATAGAGCGACGCAAAAACACAATGCCCCATGACGTATTTCATGTTATAAAACTCAACAAAATAAGACGTAAACAACAAACAAAATACATGGATTGCATTAGAATGGGAATAACTAATCTTCTAATTTGATATTTTTGACCATTAATGCTGATTTAACGATCGTAAACATCCGTTTTACCGGCTCCGCTTATGCGTCGCTAGTAAAACTCAGTTTGCCACCGTTAAATCAGCATTAACGGTCGCAAATATCAAATTAGACGATAGTTATTCCCTAATTCATAAACTCGTCAACAGAATGAGAGAATGATGGATATTGTCCTTCAAACGGTACCATGCCATGTATTCTACCACTGGAGGTAGCCTGCATGGCACATTGGTTTAGAGCATCTGCTTTAGACTAACAGAGTAAGGAATTTATGGGTTCAAATCCCACTGTGGGACATGGCGACCTGACCTTCAGATGAAACCGTTTACATGTAAACCAAGGTCTGTGTCGCAGTAGGTGCTGGCACAAAAAAGATCCCTGACTGCTCAATGGCAGTCTCTGACTACTCATTGGTGATGTTCGTATCAATATGAGTGAAAAATTCCTGAAGTGTCTTTAAACAAACCACTTCCATATCAATATGACTATTAGTGTGGGGTTGTCACACCTCTCAAAGTGTCTAGCATCCTTTGTGACTAGCATTAGAACATAAAGTTTATAAATACAGCCAGAATTATAAAATATTGATATTGCTGTTATTATGTTCCCCAAACGAAGTTGGGGAACATATTGTTTTTACTCTGTTTCTTATTATTATTATGTTCCCCAAACGAAGTTGGGGAACATATTATTTTTACTCTGTTTCTTATTATTATTATTCTTCTTCTTCTTCCTGGGTACTTTTTTGTCCGGGGGTGATCTTGTAAACTGTTCATCCGATGTAGGTAAAACCTTTTTAGGATCAGTAGACATGTTATGTAGATTTGTGGAATCAAGGTCATTTTGCGCGCACGTGCTTGCAAGAGCGTGCGCGTGCAACACGTGAAATGACCAATATAATAGATATAGACGTAACTTTTTTATTTTTTGATGAAATGCTTTGAAACTCATAATTTGATTATTTATTAGTAGTTTAAACATGATGACATGGTCAAAATAGCAAGATCTCACGCGCATGCACGTGCGCTTTGCTCTGATTGGCTGAAACTAAAGTCTCTATACCTTTCTTGTTTTTCAACGAAATCCTATGAAATTTTGAACATAGCCATGCATTAATATATCCTACAACATGATATATAGCATTTGTCATAAAATCACGTGCATGCACGTGCGCTGCAATCTGATTGGCTTAAACTTTAAATAGCTATAACTCCCTTGGTTTTCAACCAAACAGGATGGGATTTGGAACATGGATAGATATAATGAACTTCTACAACATGATATGGTCGCCATGCACATGCATACACGTTCGTGTAAGTGCGCTGTAATCTGATTGGCTGAAACTTTAAACAACTATAACTGCTTTGGTTTTCAACCAAACTGAGTGGGATTTAGAACATAGAGAGATGTAATGAACGTCTACAAGAAGATATGGACACCATGCTCATGTATGCACGTGCGTGCACGTGAAATGAGTTAAATCAAAAATATACTTGAATGAGCGTATTTTTAAATACTTTTGGATTAAATACTTTAATATTTAGTATATTAAAATGTATAGATTGTGTAGACAAGATGATATGGTCATTACGCACATGCATTCACATACGCACTAAAATTTGAATGAACTTGGCGTTGTTAAAGTCTCAGTGCATAGATTTTGTCTTATTTAATGAAGCTTACAGGGAATATGGCACCAAAAGGGAGTTGGGGAGCGTTTGGGGAACATCTGTAACGGTCCCCGTTACAATTAGCCCTAGTTATTCTTATTATTTTTCTTCTTCCTTGGAAAATTTTGTCCACGAGTGATCTTGTAAACTACACATCTGACTTAGGTGAAACCTTTTTAGGGTCAGTAGGCATGTTATGTAGAGTTGCCGAACGATGGTCATTTTGCGCGCACGTGCTTGCAAGAGCGCGCACGTGCAACACGTGAAATGACCAATATAATGGATATTGCCGTAACTTTTCTATTTTCTGATGAAATTTTTTGAAACTCATAATGTAAGGATACATTAGTAGTATAGACAAGATAGCATGGTCAAAATAGCAAGATCTCACGCGCATGCACGTGCGCTTCTCTCTGATTGGCTGAAACTAATGTCTCAATATCTTTCTTGTTTCTTGTCATAATCCTTTGAAATTTTGAACATAGTCCTACATTATGAAGATCTACCGCATGATATATAAGAATTTTCATGAAAGCATGCGCACGTGCGCGAGCTGCAAGCTGATTGGCTGAAACTTTAAATGGCAATATCTCCTTTGTTTTTTGACGAAATTCTTTGAAATTTAAAATATAGTCATGCATTAGGATATCCTACAAAATGATATAGAAAAAAAATCGTGAAATCACGCGCATGCACGTGTGCTGCAATCTGATTGGCTGAAACCTTAAATGGCTATTTCTCCTTTGTTTTTTGACGAAATTCTTTGAAATTTAAAATATAGTCATGCATTAGGATATCCTACAAAATGATATTAAAAAAATCATGAAATCACGCGCATGCACATGTGCTGCAATCTGATTGGCTGAAACTTTAAATGGCTATAACTCCCTTGTTTTTCAACCAAACAGGATGGGATTTAGAACATAGATAGATGTAAGGGACTCCTACAAAAAGGTATGATCATCATGCACGTACACGCACGTGCGTGCATTTGAAACGAGAATATTTAAAAATACACTTGAATGAGTTATTTTTATTACTTTTGGACTGAATGCTTTATATATAGTATATTAAAATATATAAATAGTGTAGACAAGATGGTATGGTCATAACGCACATGCATTCAGATGCGTTTGGGTGCAATGCTAAAAATTGAATATAATTCGTATTCTTCTGGAAAAACGTTGTTAAAGTCAAAAATGCACAGAGTTTGTCTTATTTAATGAAGCTTACAGGGAATATGGCACCGAAAGGGAGTTGGGGAGCGTTTGGGGAACATCTGTAACGGTTCCCGTTACAATTAGCACTAGTTTCTTTAATGATTCAAATATTACTCTTAATTTATTATTTTCATAACCAAGAAAACTTGATAAACTAGAGGTACTGTGAACAATGAGCTCACTAAATAATACCCTGCCTCCCATATGAACATGATGAATATAATGTCAGTGACCATGTTTTGCTATGGGAAACCCAAAATATGTGACTGTTGGATCATAAAGTAAAATAGGAGGTGCACAATGGCAATATGTAATAAAGATTCTCTGAAAGTCTCGTCAAATTTCATTCATTGGTATAAGAGGAGTTGCGGATAAGAGATGGGTACCCCAAAGTGTTACAGACAGTCAGACGGACGGATGGACAGACGTTACAGCTAGACGACCCCATGAACACTATTCACCCTCCGACTTTTCAAGCTTGGGGTATAATAAGTCAGTCAAATCTTGTACAACATGTGAAATCATAGATATAATCAATTTTACTAAAGTATGGTACATGTGACTTACCCCATGTAATAGTGATGATTATGTGCAGATACCCGATGGCACTGGTCATATTAAATGCGAATTAGGGGGTACTATTAGTTACATAGTTTTTGAATGACAGAGGTATCATCCCGTACCCTGTCACTTAAAAACTATGTAACAAATTTACCCCACCAATGAAACATTTACATATTATCTGTGGTTTATAAATGTTTTTTTCTGCTGCATGCTTCATCACCCTTAAACTGTGCCTGTTATGATGTCACGTTGTGTTTGTTTCATAATACATTGACTGTGTATTGATTTACAATTGACTGGGTATAAGTAACCCACCTCCTTCACGTGACAGACTTCAACCAATCATAATATTGAAAAATCTTCGAAAAATCTACAGAGATGGGGTTAAAATATTATAGTTATATGGGGTAACTATTTTCTGGGAGAATACTAGCATTTCCTTTTTAAAAATTAATTTAGTAACATTTTTAAAACCTTCAGGTTGTAGTCATAATTAAAAATAGCTGCAGAACTGTAGCTCTCTGAAACAAATATACTGAGTGACAGACCTGAGAGTCTAGTGCTACCAGTTGAAAAAAGTTTATATTTATTGTGCACAAAAATTGATTTATTTCACCGTGTTTTCAAACTGCCATATCAAAATGTTACTATACACTGCCATTTTGAGAGGCAAATTATTTGGTCCAACAGAACAACACGCTGCAGCTATGTGCAGACTTTAAATATGAGAGAAGTTGACAGAAATGAAATCTAGCTTGTGTACAATTTAAAATAAGAATTTAGAGAATTTAATCCAAAATCAAGCATAAGTTTTTGTGCTCTAGCTTTGTCATCCATACAAATTTTTAAGACCAGTGTGCTACAGATGAGATTTAATTGAGAGATTTTCTTCCTCTTATCAGCATGACTTCTGTGGTGCACCATTTTAATCACTGCACATAACCAATAATATTATATGGGGTAACTTTTACAGTAACACATGTTACATGAACACTTCTGCATACGTAACATTGTGTTTCTTTTTTATTTGTTATGGATATTTAAAAAGTATTATTGAATATTGGCAATATTTAGTAATTAGCCTGTATATACATGTTAAAAACAGCTGATCATAAGCTTTGTACTGTTGTAAGTACAATGAGCTTAATGTACTGATTGTACTGAACCTGATAAATTGAGTAAAATAGCATAATGCAGATAAGAATGATATTGTATTCATCACCGTATCGATAGCTATATCAAACTATTTTTTTTCTTCAAATTACTGTTTAGATCTAACACATCTTTAAACTAACATCTTTTGCGCAAGAAAGGATTAAATGTCTTCATGGAATCTATTTTCAATAAGAAAACAAGAAAGGCTATATTTATGACCTACATAAGACATAAAATTAAAATTCAATTAAAAAGGAACTTACCATAGCGAAAATATTCAACACAATCCTGCGTGCGAAGTGTTTTCTTTTCACAATCAAAAGTGAAAGCGATAGTCTCAATGCGCATGCGCGAAGTGTAGCAGGGAGCTGCCGAAAGTTGAATCTGAAATTTACAGCCTCCATCAAACCAATAAAATGTCGTCTTCCAAGATATACTCATCGTCGCAAACCACGACCAAAATGTACGATCCTCTCCCATTCTGGCCGTGGTTGAACGAGGAGAGAATTCTTCGTTGCTCATTAAAAAATTGACCAATGCGAGTAAAGCATAATTGGAAGATGAACTTTATCGCGATCTTTCACTGTCCAATCGCATTATAGAGAATATTTCTTGTATACTGTTGACGTCAGTTGTTGATTTCAATTGCGATAGAAACAAAACTTGCCACTGACTGAATATGACGTCACGATAGAGAGGCGTAAATATTCAAAAGTACGACAGTTTTTGTGATCAAACAGCCACGGGTAGGAGAGAGCTATAGGCGGACTCCGGACCGTGGCTTGAGACGATGAGATATACTGGAATTAAAGTTAACATGTAAGAGCGCCATCTGGCATTATTGTGCAGTTGAGGTTAGAGCATTCAGTTCTTAGGAGAGAAGGACTCGTGCTCCTGTATGAATTGAAGGACATCAATGGGTGCACATACTCTCATTATGATATCCAATAAGTCCATCTGTTGATCTGTTGAAAGTTGGTTTTGGACATACCAAAGTAAAGGGAAAAACATTCTGGAGGCCAAAATGACGTTACAGTGATTTATTACGTCTTATCCCATCTCTGAACATGTACATGTACTCTGCTAGTGCATACGTAAATACATGTGTGGACTTCAGCAAGAATATGCATTGCATGTACGTAAACTGTACATTATTACAAAATACAATATACATAATTATATATTTAGTACATTTTAAATAAAAACAATTATTTACATGTAGTTTGGATGCTTTACTTCTTACAGCAGATGAAAAACCCTTTCCCAGAAGTTTCCATTTCCCTTTCAGAGCAACGATACATGTAGAGGAACTATATTAGAATAGGAAATGCTTAGATGTAAAGATGAAAAAGAAAAATAAATTTGTATATTAATGTAATTTATATTTATTTAAAAAAATAGCAACGCTTCTCTTAATAGACCTGTTTCAAGAATTACAATAAACTACATGGCTTTATGATGATCATTGGCATATAGGTAGGACTGGGGTGCTTTTGGCGATCTATAGCCTTATAGTTTGACCAATTCTAATCCTATGATTTGCCATAAAAGCTTTATGGCAACTGTTATTTAGCTATCTATCTATTGTGATATTTTGATATATATATATATATATATATATATATATATATATATATATATATATATATATATATATATATATATATATATGGAAATAACAGTGCGAAACAGCGCACTTTTTATGCGCATTAAATATACACTTTTTAAAAATGCGCAAGACAGATTTTCAAGGGTTTCTAATTTTATCACCTTTTCAAGTTGAGGAGTATGATAGTGGTATTGTATGCCAGATTGGGTCTTTAAAAATACAAGCACCTCACAATCTGTTGAAACGATCAATTGAGTTCCTGGTTTTCTCTCTCAGGAACAGAGTTTGTTTCCTTTATTTTCCATCCTCAACGTCCCAGCAGTCTGACCACTCTTATCTCTCTCCCTGTTTGAATGTAGTTTGAGTTCTTCCGGATCCCTGTATTTTAAAAACGTAAGATTTCTTAAAATGGTCCAAAGACTCACTCATTTCATTCTTGCTGGTCGGTTTGTGGTCTGGATTGATCAGTTGTTTGATGGCATTCATTGGCATACTCCGATTTACATGCTATTTAATGCTCGTGTGTTGGGATCAATCTTTTCATATAAAGGAAAACGGGACACACTTCAGGAAGGTCTTTATATAAAGTTTAATTTATTTTGATCCAGAATTATAAGATGATTTTAGGTCACCTGAGTAAACTCAAATGTAAACTATTGCTATCCGTTTATGGCTGTCACGTCATGTAACTCAGAATCTTTTCACGCATGAGTGAACAAAGCAGTCCCAGGGACTGCTCAGTCTCCTTTCTAGAGCAGTCTCACAACAGTCTCGGGGACAGCTTTCTGGGACTGCTTGGGTGTCAGGTAGTCCGAAAAATCTGACGTTTTCCAGGCTTGTTTACAATTTTGATATTTTACGTGCCAGGAACCGGTGTAACGTTGAATATTGACCCAAGTTGAAAATTGACCCGGGGGTCATTTTTCAACGTTGAATATTGAACTGGGGGTGTATTTTCTCCGTTGAAAATTGAGACCAAAAGTCGTTGAATTTATACTCGGGGTCATTTTTCAACAGCTTGATAATTTTTTTTCTTATCCCTCATGACTTCAACATGTTGAAAATTGACCCTGTTGAATATTGACCCCACCTCAGAGTTTGAACATTTTTTGAACTGGAAAGTTATTTTACGGGATTTATCAGTATCTCTAAATTTATATTTCGCTTTCAATTGTTTCCCTTTTCAAGAATAATAGAAATTAATCTATCATCCCGTGTATATATAAACATATTGATAAGTACACGATTTCGATTATCTTCTAGCATGACAACTTTATTTTTTGACAATACTTTCTAAAATCCATAGCATCCATAACTAACTACAAAACAAAGAATAGGGCATAAAACTAAAATCCTAGAAATCTGCTGTCTAGAAAGTGGGCCCTATATGTATTGATCAGGTGGGCAGAACATCCCATCTTGTCAAATTCAGTATAAAAATTAACAAAATTAATAGCTTAAAAATTAGAATGAAACACATCGGCTAAAATTAATCCAATGATATGTTATCTTTGTGAAAATATCAATTTAGCGACCATAGCATATAAGTGATGCTGACTTTAAACAAGGTTGGTGAAATCCCTGTAACAAACTTATTTGTCAGTAGCCTGCCTCGGCTTAAAATTGATCGTTTTCGGAGAATTACCTTGAGAATGAGATTTTTCTTATTCGATACAATGTGATTCCTATTCGATTAATTGTTATTCCTTTTCGATAATTTATAATTTGTATTCGATAAATTGCTATTCCTATTCCCAAGAACCCATAAACGGTTTGCTAAAGGCCGTTAGGCCGAACGCAAACAGTTTGGTTCGAGGGTCGATAAAGCGCATTTTGTCCCAAATCAAAGTCAATAAATGTTTTGTTATACTTTTGACATGTAACTTGTTTATGTGATATATCCTTGGGTTAAACTTGATCAATTACATCACTGCTGAACACAAACGAATGCAAATGATATTATTCTCGGCCAAGTGTGACGTAAGCGGTCCAGCATCTCATCCGATGGCATCGGAAGGTCCTACATCTCACTCAGTGGTCAAACATGTATAGAAAAAATTTTTAGGGGTACAACAATAACCCTTGATTTAGATTACTTACTCATTTCAAAGCCATTTTCGGCTTACTAACAATTTTTGGAGTAAATATATGTATCAAGTATTAAACTGAAGAAATACTTAATACTTTCTTCTCAGTAAGTAATTTCGCTTTTTAGAAAAAAAATCACTTTCACAGTCAAAAGTACTTGAAAATAAAAAAAAAAATCTTTAATGTTTTTTTTTTTTTTTTAATTTTTCTGAGATAAAGCTAGAAAATGCAAATAAAACATTTTAAAATTTCTAAAATATATATTGGTATTGAAATTGTTCAAATTTTTGGAGAAATTGGTAAAATAAATTGATAAATCTATTGAGGCACACTTTTATTTACTTTTCAATTATACTTTGAACGAGAGACAGATTTTAATTCAAAATCGCCATAGTCACACAAGATGTTGAAAATATTTGCATCGATCTCTGAAGCAATATGGCTCATTTTGGGAATGTTATATGCCTTGTCTGTATAGGGTTTGACGTAAACTGTTTTGTAAGATCCTGTGTTTTGTAATATTGTTTCATCTCTATGGTTATCTACAAGAGTTGCATCCAACAGGTCTCTGGTGAAATATTTATGGTGTTTTTCGGGCAGGTAGTTTCTGATGGGGAAATAGGGTTGTTTGCAGCAAATTGCATCTTCCTCTCTACACTCCACTCCAAACACCGGTTCAAAATGAGCATGAACATTTTGTAGATAAACATTACTCTCCGAATTGGATGATTTGTCAATAGGTGAAAAGCAAGACCATCCCATTTTTGGTAAATTTTGGCTTGTGCCCTGTTGGCAATACACATATACACAAGTGTCCATCATTGTCGCGAAGGCATATATTTCTACTTCTGTTCCCCAAGTGCCAACTTTTCCCATTTCTGACTGTTCAATATACTGGTTTACACTTCTCTTTTCAGCGATGGAAGAAAGGTCTGCGTTACGAGATTTCATATATTCCAAAAGGTAGTCTCGTACTATTACATGATATGTTTGTGAGCCAAAAAGACAATAACTTAGAGCTCGAAATAAACAATTACCATCTCCTCTCATTGGAATCACTTTTAAGGGTTTGGCGTCATAGGCCATTTCATGTATTCTAGATTTTCCATGCAAGTTCTTAACATTAACACCGAAATGTTTCGCATGTTTCAGCTGCCATTTGCTATCCACACAGACAAACAATTTTTTTGAATAATTAGATTCTTCTGAGGTGCATGTTACTGTATCCTCTTCACCATTTATCTCATCTTTTAAGCTCTTTGAGAATTTTTCATCATTTGTCCCAGCATTGAAGCTGTCTTGCATTGCTTGGTGTTTCTTCGTCTTTGTAATAAAGGATGGTGTCATCAGTGTCACTTGAAGACTCCTCTGCCTTACTTTTGGACTCAGAAGATCTAAAGATATTTTTTCAGTCTGCCTCCGTTGACAGCTCCTTTCAAGCCGTTTAAGGTGTAAACACATACGCCGTTTTTCTGTACTTTCACATTAGTTATCTGGTATGGTCCTAGCCACTTCTTTTCAAGTTTTCCACCTTTTCTGCTGACTTTTCTTGTATTGTGAAGAAGGACACTTTCTCCTTTCTTAAATCTTTCGTTAGAAACACTCCTG